GTCAGACATTTTTATCTCTCTTAAGTGGCAGGAGGAAACAAAGTAGCAATATTTTTTTCCTTCTCTATACAAATTTAAAAGGAGGTTTCTCTTAAAATACTGTGTTGCCGTAACCACACCAGGTTTCACCTGAAGTTAACTATTCTCAAACCTTGAGTTAACCAATGCATTTTTCTCATGGAAATGTTTGTCCTAAGCTATGTTAATGTACTATGCATTTACCCCAGACTCTGTCTTCAAGTTGGTTCTGCCTAATGGCTCAGAACCTACTTTACAAACCAGTATGTTATACTCAGACATTGTTCCCCTAATCTATGTAAACAAAACTATTTGTATGGTAATCTGCCCTTCTACAAGATTCAAGTCAATCGTTTTATGGCCCGGGATGAATCATCTGGTGCCAAGATTATCCAAAAATGCATCTTATGGATGAGGGGCCTGGTGCCATTCTTAGTTTTAAGACATTCCTTTCTTTCATTAACAGACTGCTAGTGACTATATAACATCCAGCTGAAGACTAGCAGGGGGGTACTCTTTCTGCCCCCTTCTGATGCCTGTGTCAGAAGCTTTCTCTATTTCCTTTATACTTTAATAAAACTTTATTACACAAAATCTCTGAATGGTCAACTCTCGTCTCTGGCCCCAGATTGAATTCTTCTCCTCCAGAGGCCAAGAATCCCGGCATCTCTTTGTTCAGCAACAACCTTTCAATACCACCCGTTTCTCTCTCTCTTTTTTTATCCCTCCTTTGCTGTACTTCCTCAATTTGGCTTTAGCAAAGTAATGCTCAAAATTCTCCCAAGTTAGGCTTCAACAGTACATGAACTGAGAACTTGCAGATATCAAGCTGGATTTAGAAAAGGCAGAGGAACCAGAGATCAAATTGCCATCGTCTGTTGGATCATAGAAAAAAAAAGATAATTTACAGAAAATCATCTACTTCTGCTTCATTGACTACACTACAGCCTTTGACTGTGGATCACAACAAACTGTGGAAAATTATTAAAGAGATGGGAATACTAGACCACTTGACCTGAGAAACCTGTGTGCAGGTCAAGAAGCAACAGTTAGAGCTGGACATGGAACAACAGACTGGTTCCAAATCGGGAAAGGGGTACAACAAGGCTGTATCTTGTCACCCTGCTTATTTAACGTATATGCAGAGTATATCATGAGAAATGCTGGGCTGGATGAAGCACAAGCTGGAATCAAGATTGCTGGGAGAAATATCAATAACCTCGGATATGCAGATGACACCACCCTTATGGCAGAAAGTGAAAAGGAATTAAAGAGCCTATTGATGAAAGTGAAAGAGGAAAGTGAAAAAGCTGGCTTAAAACTCAACTAAGATCATGGCATCAGGTCCCATCACATCATGGCATACAGACCTGGAGACAATGGAAACAGTGACAGACTTTATTTTCTTGGGCTCCAAAATCACTGCAGATGGTGACTGCAACCATGAAATTAAAGGACACTTGTTCCTTGGTAGAAAAGCTAAAGCTGTGACCAACCTAGACAGCATATTAAAAACACATTATTTTACCAACAAAGGTCTGTCTAGTCAAAGCACTAGTTTTTCCAGTAGATATGTATGGATGTGAGAGTTGGACAATGAAGAAAACTGAGCGCCAAAGAATTGATGCTTTGGAACTGTGGTGTTGGAGAAGACTCTTGAGAGTCCCTTGGACTGCAAGGAGATCCAACCAGTCCATCCTAAAGGAAATCAGTCCTGAATATTTATTGGAAGGACTGATGCTGAAGCTGAAGCTCCAGTACTTTGGCAACCTGATGTGAAGAACTGACTCATTAGAAAAGACCCTGATGTTGGGAAAGCTTGAAGGCAGAAGGAGAAGGGAACAACAGAGAATGAGATGGTTGGATGGCATAACTGACTCAATGGACATGAGTTTGAGCTTTGAGCAAGCTCCCGGAGTTGGTGATGGATAGGGAACCCTGATGTGCTGCAGTCCATGGGGTTGAAAAGAGTCAGACGCAACTGAACTAAAGACAACATTAAATTTTTAGAGAAAAAACTTGGGTTTGGGGAGAAAAGTAGAAATGGTGGTGGTCCCTATAGTGGAGCTTGGCTATCTAAGAAGTCTTCTAGAGACCACAGTCACTGAGTGGTTTTCTACTGTATCACTCTATATATCCTATATTATATCAGCTTCTTAGAATTCTGCTTATAGTCTCTCAGCTCTGCCAATTAGCAGGGTGAAGGAGACTTTTCAAAGGTAGTTAAATGCATGAATATACACTGCCCCAAAGTTAGTATTAGGTAATTAATAAATAGTTGCTGAAAGGAATGCTGGAAACATTATTCCCTGGTCTTTTATATTAGTCACTATGATAAAATGATATGAGAAGGAAATGTTTTTCAGTTAAAGTTTTAGTACTTTCCAAGTAATAAATTAAATTATATTCCAAAATTAATATTTTCCAAATATTGTATAGCCTGCAGTTCATTTATAGTATTTTTAATTTTTATTTTTTTAATTTGCAGAATAAAATTGATGTTGGTGGCATTACAGTTGTATACATTTTAATATGTGTATAGATTTGCATTACCATATCATATTTGGGGCACAAAACAATTTCATCACCTCCAGAATCTCCCTCTTGCTGCTTTATAGTAATAGCTTCTTCATATACCCAATATCTGACAACTACTGATGTGTTTTCTACTGCAATAGATTCATCATTTTCACTATGTATTATAAATGGAATCTTGCAGTAAGTGCTTTCATATCGGTCATTTTCACTCAGCATAATACTCTGAGCTCCATTCAAGTAATTGTGTATGTCAGTTATTCCTTTTTAATTGCTAAGTAGTATTCCTTGGCATGGATGCTCCACTGTTGGTTATTCTTGTTCACATTATTTCCCATTTGTTAAATCAGATATTGCCTAACTTTTGTTGCAATTTAGAATTATCTAGTGGCATAAAGGGTTTTGAAGAAAATTTTTATTTTTTTGGTTGAATAAAATTAAATTTGAATAGAGGATGGATCCCAGATCGATCCCAGAGAGGATCAGGTGGAGAGGGAGGTGGGATGGGGAATACATGTAAATCCATGGCTAATTCATTTCAATGTATGACAAAAACCACTGCAATGTTGTAAAATAATTAGCCTCCAACTAATAAAAATAAATGGAAAAAAAATTAAAAAAATTTGAATAGAGGAAAAAGCAAAGAGTAAATACGCTTTTACTTCCAAATTAAGAGTGATGGCCAGCTTATCTCTGAATTAAATCAAGAATTTAACATGACTATATCATCTCACAACCATATGAGAATTGTCAAAACAAAATTTAACCACATGGGTTCTAGAGCAAAATCTCATGTGTCTAGATTTATTAGATATTCTAGGTATCTGTAAAGTACGCTATATATTGATGTAGTTTGGTCAGTTTTCCAGTGATTAGAATACAGTATTTAGTTTTTATCCTGGGATAGGTGGTGGTGCCATTCACTGAGAAGGTGATTACAGGAGACTCCTCTGGAGGGGAAAATGAGGAGTTGTGTTGTGGACGTGTTACAGTATATAGATATGTAGGTTTGGCATTCATGAGGGAAATCTGAAATGGATGTTTAAGATCTCATATGGAAGTTGAAGACATGGATGTGGATGTGGATGAGATTCTTCAGTTAGAATGTAATGAGTGAGAGGTAAGGCAAGTAGGAAGGGGTCTCTGGAGTGCAGAGCAACAATATTTTAGGACAGTTGGAAAAAGCATCCTGAAAGGGAACTGACAACAACTGGGCAAAGAGAACCAAGAAAGAGCGATGTACACATACCAGTAGAGGGTGAAAGAAAGAGTAGATAGTATGGTGAGACTGCAGGGTAGCTCAAGTTACTTTAAGAAAGTTTGAAATTTAGTGAAGACATGTGTGACCTGGTATACTAGACTACTGTACCAGGAACCAGGAAGCTTTTAGGAGTATCCTTCTTTCAATGGCTACAGAATTTCTGTCATGGAACTTTGCTTCCCTTTGCACAGTTTTTGTAATCTTGTCTCTGCTTTCTCTTCTTACTTATAATATCTGCTCCATCATAATTTCAGCTGACTTGTAGCCCATTATGACCTTTCATTTCCCTCCTTGACACATAATCAAGACCTTTTAGATATTGAGAATTGCCTCACTTTCTTGGTATTTCTTACTTAAAAATCTTATTAGTCCAGTTCAACATTTATATCAAGTCGTTTCATAGGTTATTGAAGCCACTCAATCTGTAGCCTGGCCAATCACTTATGAAGTGCCCTGAGTAATCTTAAAAACCATATCCAATGTGGATTTCTGCTTTTGGATCTGTAAATTGCAAATGATGGTAGATTAAAGAGTGCATTATAGGTGAGAAAATAAAGGTGTAAGGGGTTTGGCTTTGAAGGGACTAACAGACTAGTGGGAAACACAGCATCAAGGAAATCAAGGAAAGAATTTTGTTTTATTTTGTTTTTTAAGGTGACAGGTTTGAACATAGAAGTCAATAAAAAAGAAATGTTTTACTTCAACATTTAATTTTTTAATTGTTGAAGTAGTGTTAAGGTGGCAGAGGAAGATTGAATAGCCTTGTTTTGAAACAAGGATACCTCTCCCTCTGCAATGGAGTTAAAGAAGAAAGGAGGGATAGGGTGGGGATAAATTTGGAAGTAGGGGAATATGCCCATTAACACATTTTGTGAAACAGGCCACAAAGAGAATGCTGGGAAGAGAGGTAAAGATTGCCAGTAATTGCTGAGGAAAATTCAAATAGGAACCTAACAGCTAAGGATAGGAGGAAGTGATTATTTCACCCACCCCCACCCCCTGCAGTGAAACCCATATATAGGTTGAGAAAATGTGGATGACTGAACTAGTCCAGAGCTGAAATGGACTCAATTTGTGACTTGGTAGGAGTTAATGCTTGCTTTATTACTTTTAAAATTTTGTTTGGTTCCACTGTTTTGTTTGTTTTTTGTTTTTCATTCTGGTCTTCAATATGTTTCTTCTGCAGGTCTTGATGACTGTTTGCAACAATATATCAAGAATTTTGAAAGGGAGAAGATCAGTGGGGACCAGCTGCTGCGCATCACACATCAGGAACTAGAGGATCTGGGAGTCAGCCGCATCGGCCATCAGGAGCTGATTTTGGAAGCGGTTGACCTTCTGTGTGCACTGGTAAGGGCATCATAGAACTGGTGGGAAGGGAAACTTTTCTTTTTCTCCGTTTTCTTTCCTTTTAAAATTTTTTCCTAAATTTTTTTTTTGTTTCTTCTCCTTCTCTTTACAAAAATAATTTCAATGCAAGAAGGAAAAAAAAATCTCCTAATTATCAGCCAACTGGATGTGGTATTTTCCTCCTTCATTGTATATGTGTTATGCCATGCCAAATTACAAATTAAGGAAGCTTATTAACTCAATTTGTGGCATTTTATCTAGCTACTTGAAAAACTGAGAGCTCACCAAGGGAGTTTTCACAGCAGCACTTGGGATGTACAATTGCATACAATCATTTAAAAGTTCATTTCCTTCTAAAAGTTTGATTTAGTATCCCAAATGTTAAGTAATCCAATTTTAGAAAAAATCATCCTTAAAAAAAACAATTATTTTAGTGTTCTTTGCATATACATCCATGAATATTGAATATTGTATATATGTCTGCTTGTGTACACTATAAGAGCAGTGCCTAGTCAAGGCAAGAGAAATCAATATCAAAATAATCCTGTAAGATTTTGATAGTACCTTAGATATTCTGAGAGGAATATAGATTTTCCCCCCTGTGTTAGCTAAGATGACACTAGCATGATTGGGGCTAGAACTACAGTGAGAAAGAACATGAGTCTTGTAATATAATAATATGGGACTGAAATTTGACTCAGTCAGTTAATGACATTTGTGGGCAAATCATTTCACCATTGCCTTAGTTCTTTTATTTAAAATAGAGATATTTTATTTAAACAAGAGATATTTTACTAAAAAATAAAAAGAGCTTCCTTGGTGGCTCAGCCAATAAAGAATATCCCTGCAATGTGGGTGACCTGGGTTGTAACCCTGAGTTGGGAAGATCCCCTAGAGAAGGGAATAGCTACCCATTCCAGTGTTCTTGCCTGGAGAATTCCATGGACAAAGGAGCCTGGTGGGCTACAGTCCATGGGGCTGCAAAGAGTTAGACATGACTGAGCAACTAACACTTTATGGGCTTCCTAGGTGGTGTTAGTGATAAAGAACCTCCCTGCCAATGCAGGAGATGTAAGAGACTCAGGTTTGATCCCTGAGTCGGGTAGATCCCCTGGAGGAGGGCATGGCAAACCACTCCAGTATTCTTGCCTGGAGAATCCCATGGACAGAGGAGCCTGGCGGGCTACATACAGTCCATGGGATCACATAGAGTCGGACATGACTGAAGCAACTTAGCACAATATCAACTACCTCTTGGTGGTGGTGTGAAAAAGAGATAGTGTTTGAATAGTTCCTAATTCACTGCCTGGCACCCAGTAAACATTGAATAAGTTGTCACTATTATTAAGATGATAATAATAAATGTGTAGATAATTAAATTTGATTCAAGCATCCATATACTCAGCACTGTATGTGTCAAATGTAAGATCTAGTTCCGGCCATCTTGAAAAGTCTAGTAGGGAGAGTAACATACAAATAAGCATAATATAATAAAATTACTAAAATCAAAGCATGAGCTAAGTATTAGGGGACACAGAAATTTTGACTAAGATAAATGGGTTCATATTGCAAAAGATGTCATCTTTAACAGCTTACTGGAATATGAGCTTGTGTTTAAGAGGTAGAGAAACAGAGGGAAGTAATTTCCAGGTAGATAAAACAGCACATACAGAGGCACACAGAATAAAGAGCATGCCTGGTATGTATGAAAAATGGTAAGCTATTCTCCCACCAAAAATAAGCAGAAAGCAGTGGCATAAAATTAGACTTTAAAAGATAAATCAGACTGTAGAGTACCTTAATATCCTGGTAAGAGATTTGTAGTTCTTAGTCTGGGCACTAGAGAACCATGCAAGAATGATCAAATACTTGCTTTAAAATGGTAACTGAAGAGGTAGTGAAGAGGGTGGACTGGACTGGACTGAAGATGGGGGAACAATTAGGAAATGTTTAAAATAATCCACTTAGGCTTGAGTATGGCTTGAACCATGGATGTGCAACAGGAATAGAGTATACTGGTAAATAGGAGGAGTGAGTGACATAAAAGAAGCTGAGAAAGATTCCATCCTTTTAGCTGCAGAGATAGAGTAGAAGATTTTACAATAATGAAAATAGGCAATAGCAGCAAAAATAGATTTAGGTGGGAATATAAATTGAGTTTTATATTTGTTGAATTTGAGGCATCTCTGGTTTATCCAGAAAGAGAAACTCCATCAGACAGTTTATGAATTTGGAGCTGAGAAGTGACTGAAGACAGAGATTTGGGAGTCTCAAGGATACAGGGATTGAATCCATAGAGAGAGAGAGTGATCATTCAGGGAGGGTTTATAGACTTCAAAACCTTGACACTCCAGCTGGGAAGGAAGGAGGGGCGGGGCGGGGAGGCTGCAGAGGAGTGATCAGAAAAGCATGAAGACAGCTATGAAAGAGTGGTCACAGAAGCAATGGGTCTCTCGGGGCTGGTGCACTGGGATGACCCAGAGGGATGGGATGGGGAGGGAGGTGGGAGGGGGGTTCAGGATGGGGAACACATGTAAATCCATGGCTGATTCATGTCAATGTATGGCAAAAACCACTACAATATTGTAAAGTAATTAGCCTCCACCTAATAAAAATAAATGGAAAAAAAAGAGCAATGGGAACTCTTATTTGCATTAAGTAACATTAATGATATCATCAAATTTCACAAAAAGCCAATAGAATAAGCAAAGAAAAAGAATTGACTGAAAATATTTTTTAAAATATCTGAAACCAGATTCATAGTACCTCCCACTTACACATTTCAGTCTTGACATTAATTGTCCTTTCGTCAGAGACATTCCCTGATCACTTACTCCCTCACCCTGACCATGTCTAAAATCATCCCCTCACTGTTCGTCTCTTTCTTAATCCTCATCTCATTTTGTAATTACATATTTATATGTTTGTTTGTCTTTTTTAGTTTAGTATCTGTTTCTTCTGCTAGACTATAAGCTATATGGGAAAAGTGACATTGCTTATTGAACACCTAATATGTAGCACAAATGCCTGGCAATAGTAAATGCTGAATAAACATTTTTTTGAAAGTGGCGATGAAAGGGACTTGACGTATTTTTCATGTGATAATTTAGAGATCCTCTTGTTTCCTTATTCCTGAGATAAGAAAATTAATTCAGACCAGAACACACACTTACACTCTCCCTTATCTAAATCAGACCACAGAAATCAAGCTAGTACTCAGGGTAAGGTAAGTCCACAGTGTTTTTGCATATTGGTTTCCATATCTGAATCAGAATGGTCGTAAAGGTATCATCTAAGTGACTCAGAGACGGGAATCTGACCTAGCAGTCCCCTATCTATAACAGTAAAGTTGAGCATGTTAGAGCTTGAAATCTAGAGTGAATGCGTCATAAGCAGGTCTTCTCATAAATGAACCACTCACATGCTGAGCTCCACTCTGCCACTTTGAATAAGAGAATGAGATTGGTAATTATGGTACTACCTTCAGATCATCTAAACCTGTAGACTTTGGAGTTTGGCCCATGATAAACTGTGCTGACCTCGACTTAACTTAAAATGATGGTATCAGAAATATAAACCACTGCCATGCAGTTCTGGGTTTCAGCACTCTAGTGTTGCATCATTTTCTTGGGGAAAAAAATGAAAACATTGAATTCATTCTTTCTATGTTTCTTCCTCAAAGAGGTCAAATGTTAAACTTCATTTTCACTGCTTGCTAATGGCTATACATCAGCAGCTTTAAAGTGGACATAGCTTACACTTCATGCAGTAGATGTTTTCCAGTAAATATAAAGCAAATATTTGAGCAGTGAGTCCTGATTTATTTCTCCATGCCATTATAAAATCAGAAGGTGAGAGCCGTCCCCAGCAAGCTGAGTTGATTGCAACAGTAGCTGTGCTGTTTGGAATGGGGAACTGTGTTTTGTCTCTTCAAATCTGTAATGTCTCTACTGACTCTTCTACTTTTTCCTACAACTGTTGTATTTATTTCTTCTTTTAACAATTATATATTCATGCTGATGCAGTGCTCCCACAGGGAGTACAAAGATGAAAAAGGCATAGTCTGTGCTCTTAAAATGCCTATAGTCCAGTAAAAAGGACAAGAGTAATTAAAAGATAATATGGATTAAAAACAAAAAATTCCGGGGGAAAGCAGGAGATGATAAACACTACTGAGGGGTCCAGGAAATATAAGAGGGATCCAGGAAATGTAAGTGGGATCTGTATTGGGACTTGTAGGATAAGTAGGTGTTTGCCAGATAAAAAGGTTGGAGAAAAGTTATCTAGGCAGAAAATTATGTGTAAAGACAGAATTGTGAAAGACTTTGGGGTGTTCAGAGAAAAGGAAGAGTTTTGATTTAGCTGCTGAAGAGTGGGAAGTGATGGGAAGAACAGCGCCTTGCACTTTGGATCACATTATAAATCTTCGCTTTGGTTTTTCGGTCCTCACTGTGCATTCTGCCTAGTGCTTAACACATAGAGGATATTAAATGAATGCTATCTTACTGAATGAAGTTCTCTGCCTTTCTCCAGAGAACTGTATAATTTTTTTCTCTTGCCAATACAGTCCCTGACTCTGAAATATAAGGAAGGCACAGAGAAGTTACCAAATTTTATTGTTTCATTTAAGAAATGGATTATTTTTCTGCCTTGTTTTAAAATTAGTCCTGATGGGAAATAAATGTCATGGAAGCTAATGAAATCAAAAGTATATTCAGTAACTTGTTCATTTCTGCAACATAGATTTATTAAGCTCCATCTGTATACTGTTTGTACAATGTTAACTTAGAAAGAAAGAAGCTTTCATGATTTGGAGGTATATTCACTCTTTCGAGCTGTTATGCTATCATTTGGTGTGCTTTAATAGAGAGCACCTTGTATTAACTAAAATAAGAAAGCATACATATAGTTTAATGTATAGTCCTCAGTTTATGTTCTGACAATACAACTTTTATTGAGAAGTACAAGTGAATCATATGACAGGAAAAGAACAGTTTTCATTTCATTCTTCATGTGCTTTTCATGTAATAGGTATTTTACATGAAAAATTTGATGTCACTTTCAAAGATTTGTTTCTTTGCAGCATAATTGCTTGGTTCGTTCATCTCAAAATAATTTATTTTTGAAAATATTTGTTAAAGCAATCCTTTTAGGAGTCACTTGTATTTATAAAGTATTATAAAACCTAAACACGTGTTACATGATGCATTCAAATTAAGAGCTCTGAAGAAAATAGCATTGACATTGTAAAATGCATTGTAGTAACATTTTCAGTTAAGTGTGTAGTGAGAATTTGCCACTAGTGAGGGTATAGCCAATTTGACTTTCTAAAATGTTGTTTCTTTCTTTCATGTGCTTTTCCATGCATATAGTTGAGAAAACAGTAGAAACTTAGCACCAATTCCTTAAGACTAGACTGGCTATGTTGAATCCTTGTGGAGTCACACCTGATTCCTGGCATGAATGTTGTTGGCCACATAGGTAACATAGGATAAAGAAAATAGCAAAGTACATTTCACGTCCAAGCTTTTGTTTAATTGATTTAGTCCTTTCTATACCAATAGTAATGCCTAGTTGTCCCATGAGTATCCAGTAAAAGCAAGCCTGCAGTGAGTAAACCTGCATTTTTAAAAAGTCAGGACAGTAATTCTCACCTGCATACCTTTGGCCAAAACAAAGAGGTGGTTCATTTACTTGTTGCTTCTTTACATGGTAGGCTGGGGAGTGTGATTTACTGGTGACTTAGTGAGTTAGAACAAACCATCCATTTTCATGAAGAAGAAGGCAAAATGGTATCTGTGTTGTCAATAATTGATTTTGAGCTACTTAGAATTGAGTTCTGTGATGATAAAAATTAACTTGCAGGATCAACTAACCCACCTCTTTTGTTAAAATAGTATTACATAGGCAATGTTATATACAGATAAGCTGCTAAACTATTTTTATAGTCCTCTAGAATTTCTTAAATTCTTTTGAATTACTGTTTTAACTAGTGATAGCTCAACTAGTTTTATTTGTTAACTAGAAAAAGTTTTAAGAATTTCCTTCTCCATCTTCTACTATGCATCTTTTGTCTATTCTCGCTACTGGGTTACTCTGTCGCCCACATTTTTTACCTGAATTTCCTTCATATAGGGTATTTCTTTAGTAGGCTTCCTAGTTAGAAGACCTCTGTATCTTACCAGATTTTGTCCAGAAGATTTTTCGATTATCTTAGTTCTTGAGCTGTATTTTTTTTAATGTAATACTATCTAAAAGTTTGAAAGCTTCAAAGTATTTTTACTTTGCCTTCAGATTTTTATTTATGAGAGAATCTGCATTCTTTTAAAATCATTTTTATCATTTCTAATAAAATATTTGAGGTGATTATATATAAGAAGATAGTTTAAATGGATCTTTTGTGGGCACTAATGGCTATAGAGTTCAAGTTACGTTACGAGATTGATTAGGTTCCTCATTAGTAAACTACTTAAATTTGAGCTTCTCTGAGCAAATGCAAATATTTTCTCATTAAAATGATTAATATACAGAAATGAAAAAAGCAGACACTGTTGTACTTCAGGGAAAATGCTTTAACACAGAGAAAAACTTCTGAAAATACTTTCAAGTACTTCAAAAGTTTCATTTTAAGTTTAGTTGATGTAATTTTTAATCTAGTCATTAGAGTATCTCTTCTAAGAGGATTTTCTTCATAGCATACAAACATGCTAGATAAAATCTCCTAAATGTCTCACAAATAATTCATGCTCAGATGCAATAGAATTTGAATAGAATGTTGTTTTATTTGTGTAAATCAAACCTTTTAACTTGACAAGACTATTGCAGTTCAAATTTAGCAGTGAATATATAGTATACTGTGTGTATGGTTTTTTTTAATCTATGGCTCTAAAACTGTTCTTTTAGTAAAACTGTAAATTTTCAGCAAAGAACAGTCAGATTTTTATCATTATTAAATCTTTAGTGGTAACATACATAAGTTGGTATTAATGTTTATGAGTCCAAATCCTCTCCTCTATTCCCTTCTTTTTTATTTCTTTCCTTAAATTACCATAGAAAAAAATAAACCTAAATTTCATATAAACTTAGGTACACAATAATTGTTGACTTGATAATAGAGCTAAATCTGCTGTTACATTTGCTTCACTTTTTCCATTTTCCCTATTACTTTCTTCCATTTTGCTTCGTTTGTTTCTCCTACCCTGCTTGAACAGGAACAGATTAGTGGTGCAAAGGAGTGGGTATAGAGGTATTCTGTCATAGGTGGCCTGGTAATTTATAGTCCCATTCTGATTTCTGTCTGCTCTAAGCTCTGAGCTCTTTAAAGCAAATCAAAAAGTCTCCCTCACTTTACTTAACTGTAAAAGGAAAGGCTAAATCAAAGTTAGAATTTGTTTGGGCCTCAGAGACTATCTAACATTCTTCGACTTTCATGATTTTCTGTAAGTTAATAATACTTTTAATTTTACACATGAAAATAATGTACATGTTGCCAAGTAGTTTGATCAAGGTCATCCTCTGATCAGGTTAACTGGCCTTTCTTAGAAGTGTTTTACAACTCACAATTACCTGTTTTAAAATTTAGTTGTAACTTGGGAAATCTTTCACTGAAGTATATCTGAGAGGATCCTACAGTATGTCCTTATTGAATATGGTTTAAAAAAATTATTTGTATTTATTCATAGAAATCCTTCTTGGAATAATTTATAGATGAAACATTTAGGGTGAGATACTATATATTACTGTGGGTTCCCCAGGTGGCGCTAGTGGTAAAGGACCCGCCTGACAATGCAGGAGACATAGGAGATGCTGGTTTGATACCTGGGTGGGGAAGATCCCCTGGAAGAGGGCATGGCAACCCGCTCCAGTACTCTTGCCTGGAGAATCCCACGGACAGAGGAGCCTGGCGGGCTACAGTCCACAGGGTCGCACAGAGTCAGACATGACTGAGTGACTTAGCACACATGCACTGTATATTACTAGAAATTGAAAACTGAGACCAAGGAAAAGAAGAACAATTATACTTACAAAAAAGTAGGATTTCTTTAGATGTGATTCACACTTGACTGAGCTAATGCAACCATGACAAAATTAAAAGTTTAGTTTTAAATTTTGTATTATAAAAAGGAGAAAGTGTATTGGTTCCCCGAGGATGCAGAGGTTTACTATGTATACCATATCATAAAAGAAACTTCTTATGTGAGTCATTATGAAGAGGACACAGGAGGAAAGTTATCTTGTATATGACATATTTTACTGTTGGGTTGTACTTACTTTGCTCATTTTGGGGAAACAGAATTTTTCCTAGTGCCTACTTTCATGACTATACATATGCTAATAGAATAGATAAGCAAAAATAATTGTTAATAATAATGAATTTCACAAGTAAATGAACTTAGGTTTGCTTAAAAAAGAAACTGCTTATGAGTCCTTATAATTTTTCTGTCTTGGGTGCCTTAGTTCCAAGATACAATGCCCATCTCTCCATGTTCATGTTAGTACTTACACATTTTTTTTGTAATTTATTTATCTGATGTTTCCCCAAATCCTCATTTGACTATGAATTCTGCTAGGCCAGGAATCCTATCTTATTCATGTTTAACTCTTAATACTTGTTCCATTGCCTGTATATACAGTAAAGTACTCAGTAAATGTTGACTGAATAAAATATTGATTTTAAGTATATTTGTTTTCTCTCTTTTTATAATTCAGAATTATGGCTTGGAAACAGAAAATCTAAAAACTCTTTCTCACAAGTTGAATGCATCTGCCAAAAATCTACAGAACTTTATAACAGGGAGGAGAAGGAGTGGCCATTATGATGGGAGAACCAGTCGAAAATTGCCAAATGACTTTCTGACTTCAGTTGTGGATCTGATTGGAGCAGCCAAGAGTCTGCTTGCTTGGTTGGACAGGTAAAATCTTTTACATGTTTCATAAATTATCCTCTTCAGACATCAGTTTGAATATAACATTATTTCATTTTTTTCTTGTGAAAAGATTGTTGATTGATAAATTGATAAGTAGAGGAATATTAAGTAAAAAATGTCTAATTATGATTTACCACAATATAGGCATTGTGATTCTAATTATTTTCAAAATTTTATATTTGCAAATTTTTATATGCAACTGAATAGCTAATCAGTCATTAGTTCCTGACAGTTTTAAAATACATTTGCTGCTTTATAAGCAAATCATTTTTGGCTGTCACAACAAGATTTGTAATACTGTCTTGCTTTGTCTCCTGATTTTCTATGTGCTTTTCATTCATTGGTCATATTTAAAGAAGCAAACATCAGGATTCTATTTATTGTTTTTAAACGGGTAATTAGACATTGAAATTTTCATAGCATGCATTGTATGTCTCTACATTTGCTTTATTCATTCTATATTATTATTCACATTGCACAGTCAATTTTGGGTATTACAGATACAGTTTTGGTCCTTTTTTTTGCTAGTTTAGTTAATTCCATTTGTTTTGAACACATAAAATAACATAAAAGTTTTCACAATATAAAATGAAAAAGGTTAGGTTAAAATTGTACATGTGATTAAACATTTTAATGGTGAAACATTACAAGTATTAAAACTAAAGTTTTCAGTTTTGAAAATTTTTTGTGAGGGACATAAGAATGTTAGTTGCTCAGTTGTGTCAAACTCTTAGTGACCCCATGGACTATGGTCCACCAAGATGTGTACTATGTTATAATCGTTAAATAATCAAAAAAATATTTTGTCTGAGAAACTCTGATACATAGAAGTTTACTAGAATTTTTTCTTGAATTTTTTCTTGTCAGTAGGATTTTCATACATGTACAGATATATATGAGCTTCCCTGGTGGCTCAGTGGTAAAGAATCCACCTGCCAATGCAGGAGACACAAGACAACGTGGGTTTGATCCTGGGTTTGGGAAGATCCCTTAAAGAGTGTTCTTGCCTGGAAAATTCCACGGACAGAGGAGCCTAGCTAGCTACAGTCCATGGGGTCATGAAGAGTCAGACATGACTTAGTGACTGACCACGCATGCACATATGTATATATACATATATACACAGTGACCCTTGAATAGCATGGGTTTGGAGTGCATGGGTCTACTTATATATAGTTGTTTGTTTCAATCAATAAACATTACATTACTGCACATCATAATCATCCGTTGAATGAGTCTGTGAACATGGGCTGAGTATAAAGTTACACATGAATTTTCAACTGTGCAGGGTTGGGACTCCTAACCCTCTTGTTGTTTGAAGTTCAACTGTATTATATTTTTTCCTTTTTTAAAAATATAATACTTTATATTAAAAATAAAGTATTTTTATGTCTAAGGTAAAAGTTAAGATAATTTTACTTATTTCTATATTGTCTAAATTTATATATATATTACTAATAACGTATAACAAAGTTGAAAGTGTTAGTCGCTTAGTCGTGTCCGATTCTTTGCAGCCCTATGGACTGGAGCCCACCAGACTTCTCTGTGCATGGAGTTCTCTAGGCAAGAATATTGGAGTGGGTTGCCATTCCCTTCTCCAAACATATAACATGATAATACTAAATCCAGATCTGAACAGTAGGCTGTATATCGTTAGCTTTTTTGATAATTAACTGGTAGACAGCATATTTCTCTTATGACACCATTAAATCCTTAAAATTGTTTAACCCACATTTATCAATTGTATGAATTGTCATTTAAACATAAATTCTACAAGTTGTATAATGGTCAATAAGTAAATATATTTAAACTATAGCTTATCTGTAAGTAATATACTTGTTTCAAGAAGCTTCTCAGTAATTGGGAAACTTATAGAAAATATATTTGATTTTTAGTTACATCTTCTTATATCAACTATCCTATATTATAAATTTGCTCAGCTTTTATATTTTATTCGGTAAATTTCATTATTTTCTTTTTTACACTAGTACTTATGAAATGAATAAATAGAATGATTAGAGAATGTGTTTACCTCTTAATGGCAGGTAATATTTATAAAGTCACATAATGGCTTCTAGAACATTATATAATAATTTCTGAGATTTCATTGTATTATATAATTTATTACGGTTGCATTATTTGTATTATCTAAGACCAGATCCTTAATAAGTGCTAGTTTATCTGCAAACATACCTGAGCATACACACACATACATAGTAATTTATACAGTCAATCAGTGGTGTTTTGTTGTTTCATAGGAAAAGAAAATGTGAGAAAAAGCCTGAATGAAATATTTTAATTCATCTGTTAGGCTTCCATTGCTGCAAAGGTTCTCATAATCCTTATTTTGAATTATATCATACTACAGTGATAATTAAATCAAAGGCCATTTAACATTTTGGCCATAAAAATGAAATATATACTTTGAAGAAACAAAGAGACAACTTTTGTGATAACCTTAAAAATCTTCTGACTAGACTATAAACTGAAAAAAGAAACTGAAGTTTATATTTTGAAGATTTTTCTGAGGAAAGTTCAGCTCCAGGGTGGCTTGCCCATAATGATTATGCTTTAACAGATTAAGTTTTAAAAAGGAAAGAAGAAGAACAAAAATAATTCTTTGTCATTTTAAAGCATTTGGTCTTTATGCTGAAGGCATATGGGGAGTTGCTTAGGATCACTGTTGTTTTCAGACCTGTGAATTTGAACAATGACTTGGGCTATAGTGTTGGGAAATATTAGGTGAAGAATAAGGCTAAAAGAAGGGAAACCAGTTAAGAGATTGTTTTAGGAGTATTTTTCCCTTGTTACCTCCCAGGGGTTAGTTTCAGGACCCCTCAGATACCAAAATTCGAGGATTCTCAGTCCCTTATAGAAAATGGCATGGTATTTGTATATAACCTATGCACATCTTCCTTTATGTATTAAATCATTGGTAGATTACTTATAATACCTAATATATGCTATGTACATAATTGGCCTTGTGCAACAAATTCAAATTTTACTCTTTTGAGCTCTCTGCAATTTTTTTTCCCAAACATTTCGAATCAAATTTGGCTGCACCCATGGATATGGAACTTGCCAATATGGAGTGCCAACTCTAATCATGCTACTGCTACTGTTGGTGATTCTGATGCTACCAGCCACATTCACTTAAACCAAACCTAGGAGAGTTGTCTTCATTTTGCAGATAGGAAAAATACAACATTCAGAGGCAGAAGTTAAGTTCAAAACCAACTAGGAAGTAAGTGGTGGAGCCAGGCTTCATTCCAGGCATCTGACCATAGAGTTGATTCTCTGCACTGCTATTGACTGAGATATTTAATTAGAGAAGCAGGAGTGGGGATAGAAGAATATTAGAGATAGATATAGAGACTAAGGAAAAGGGAGACGTCTAGGGTGAATAAAGGTATCTGACTTGGCTCATCCAGTGGATGGTAAAACCATTATCAAAATAGGAAGAACGAGTTATGGTGGAGGACAAGGGTTGAGTGTTGGTGATGATTGTGAAAAGTTCTTTAGAATATTGCTGCTCAGAAAAGATAGATGGTGGATAGAGATTTGGGAATCATGAAGATGTGGATAGTAGTTAAAGTCCTGAATATATTAATATGGTGGTGTAAGATTTTTAGAATGAATTCCTCTTTTTCTGTTCTATTTGTTTTCCATAACACCGAAACCCTTCTAACACGCTATATAATTTGCTTATGTGTTAGTCTTGTTTTTATTTGAGAACTCTATACATGATGTATACTTCAGGAGAGCAGAGATTTTCATCTGCTTTGTTCACTGCAGTCACAGTTATCTAGAAGAGTTCTTGGCCTATAGTAGGTACTCAATTTTTTTGAGTGAACGAAGTGAACTGAGATAAGGAATGACTGCTGCAGACCACCACCAATTGAAGGATGATTAGAAGTTTAGCTTATGGGGAAAAAATAAGAAGGCATAATCAAGAGACTCCATAGGCTAGAATTTGTTGAGAATGATGTCATGGGAGCAAAAGGAGGAAAGAGTTTTTTTGGTATATCTGGGGGGAGGGAATGTTGATATTTTTCTATTTTTCCTAACTTTATTGAAATACAAGAGATGTATAATATTGTGTAAGTTTAGGCTGTACAGTGTGATGATTTGATACATATAGATGTTGAAAAATGCTTACCACAATAAGATTAATTAATATAATTTATAAGCTCACATAATTACCTTTTTTGTATATGTGGTGAGAACATTTAAGATGGGAATAAAGAGTTTTAGGGAAAAAGTGAAGTGGTCAATAAGGTCAAATGCTGCTGACAGTTTAGGCAGGGTAAGACTGCCTAGTATTAGGTATTCACACACCTGAAAGTATGTGGTAAATTAGGGAATCAGGATATATATAATCTCACAAGCAACAATTTAGTCTTTTTATTTAGAATTAATGAAAGCTGGAATTCATGGATTGATTGTGAGTTAAATGTAAGTAATAACTCTGAAGAAATTTTTCTGCGAAATGGTTAGTAGTTCAGGATACTTTTGCATAATATCAGACTTCACCTTTTCATAGACTCATGTCTTTTAGAGGTGTTGGCAAGGAGGAAAGGCAAATGATGAGTGCTAGAAGGAAATGGCAACCCACTCCAGTATTCTTGCCTGGGAAATCCTATGGATAGAGGAGCCTGCTGGGCTGTAGTTCATGGGGTCACAAAAGAGTCAGACATGATATAGCAACTAAACAACTTCTTCTAAGCAACTAAACAGCTTCTGTATTTGGGAACTTGACTTTGCTTCTTCCACTGCCATAAAAGTAAAGTGTAAAGTGAAAGTTGCTCAGTCACGTCCAACTCTTTGCGACCCCATGGATAATAGCCTACCAGACTCTTCTATCTATGGAATTCTCCAGGCAGGAACACTGGAGTGGATAGTATTTTCCTTCTTCATGGGATCTTCCCAATCCAGGGATTGAACCCAGGTCTCCCGCATTGTAGGTAGATTCTGTATCATCTGAG